AGATCTTTTGAAAATATAGAATCTACTATTAAGCCCCAGCCATTAAAAAATAGAAAAATATTACCCCATGATTACATTAATGTACACAGCTATGATTTAATAAAAAAAAAATAGAAAAATATGCTGTGGTGGTTATTGGGGGTAGTGTCAAGGTGACAAAGAAACACACTTATTATTAGACTAAACAAACAAGAAGGAGGTAAACACTTCCAGTGGAACACTTGACAAAAGATCAACAAAGAAGACAGAGGAAAAGATACTTCTATAATCAAGTAATTCATTAACTTAAGTCCATGTACTAAGCCAGAGACTGGGTACCTTTCTCTCATAGTTCACCATCACTCTCCTTTGTCATTACTCCGAATACTCCTTTCCCACTCCCTGCTAACAACTCAGATCCCATGGATAATTCCCTTGCCCTGGAGCTACAGGTCCTACAAGTGGGTTAGTCTGGATATAAGTTGAGAGAAGCAGCAGAGGGTCTTTGTTCTTGTGAGCAGGAGGAAGAGGAAAAATTGAAACTATTTACTGAGGACCAATTGTGTGAGACATACTGTGCTACTTTACAAGCACGCTCACTAAATCTCACAGTCCCATTTTACAGACGAAGAATTTGGATTCAAGGTCACACAACTAGCAATGACAAACCTCCTGAAAAATCAAGAATGACAGCCTTCAGAATTTTCTATACTCCTCCCTACTTCAAACAGGAGGGGGATGTGGTCCAGCCATTCTAGACTAGAACTCAGAATACATTTACCTCTAAAAAACTATTACAAATATTGGTTAGAATCTACAGTTCCACTAATACATAATACACATGAGTTAAAGTTAAAAAGGCTTTGGAGTTCTGACCTGGAAATCTAAATACTATTTGATATTTTATTCCTATAAGCACACTGTTAACATTACAAACAACAATAGACTTAAAAAATGAACTTTCGGAATACAAGTTCTTAAGTAAGGCTTTTAAGAATATTTTTGCTTCCACAAAAACTCTTAATATAAAAATCACCAAGAACAGAAGCTATTTCACCTTGTTAACTTGTAAAAACAATAACATTAGAAGACCCCTGTGGGAAATGTGCTTCTCTGACCAGGTGTTTATTTTCAGTGTGCTGTCATTTGAATAAATCATACTGAACCCTACAGACCAGAACTTATGATAGAAATGTCACAAATTACAACACTACAGTTGATTTGCCTATAATCTACTGACAAAACATATTCCTCAGCAAAGTGAAACCAGATTGAGAGATCAGATGTCTGTGGACTTGTCTTTCTCAGCTTCCAGAGCAGTATTAGATACACTAAATACACAGCTTAGCTGTATATTAAGCCCACAACTTGGCAAAATCATGACAGTTTGGACATGAAGCATCAGCATTTCTATTGTAATTCTTATAAACCAAAGACATTTCTGAAATAGAAATCCTAAGCTTAAACATTCTACTAAATGTGGTAGTATGTCTTTCTCACTTTAGGAACGGTGTCAGAGCTTTCAGGACACATAGAAACCTTTTCCTTCATTTTCCAAGGTTGCACTCTTCATGCAGGGGCTGCAGAATGATCTGATAGAAGGAAATCAAGCCATACCAGGTGTCAGTCCTTGTACCAGAAATTCTAAGATAAGATACAGTAGGTGATCTTCTGTGAAAATAGTAAGGAGGCTAAGCACCTTTAGGAAAGTAAGTACTGGCTTGCTTTCCACAATCAAAAGGAAGATCATAAGAAAGTGATGGATGACTAGATACAGAAATTATCATTGAGAATCTATATGCCAGGCACAGTTTCACACATTCTTTTTTATATACACACTATTCTGTTTTGACTGGTGAGAAATCAAGGAGCAAAGAAATTTTAACTTGCCAAAAGCAACACAGCTAATAAAATAAGAGCCCGAATTCAAGGTCATATCTAAAAGGCTATAAAAGGCATTCTACTTCTACATGAAGATTTGGAGTGGAGTGAAGAGAGGTGGTAAACAGCCAGGAAGTTGGAGAAAAAGGAAGAAAGATACAATTTTACCAAATAACAATAACATCACACATTTATTCCACATATATTCCAAATACATTAATACACAGCTAAGATATGTGTTCTACATATAGCTAAGCTGTCGAGTATGTTTGTATGTGCATATACATGGAACTAAAAGTTTAAAAAATAAATACCAAATTGTTAACAATAGTCTTCTGAGAGTGGTTGTACAGAAGACTCACTTTCCACCTTTTATATCCCTGCAAGATCTAATTCTAAAGAACTTTGTTTTTATCTTATGTAATTCTTATAACCAGAAAAAGACAAAAGAACTTTTCTAGCTTAGAATTTTTTAAAGGAGATTAAATGCACAGAAACTTATATAATGGTCTACTTTCTTATTTATTTTCCTAAGTACATCATCCTTGACACTTTTCATGTTTCCTAATATTAGGCCCTTCTTATGGAACAATTCAAAAAGTTATCCTCATCTAGTTATTATACTCAAACACTGAAAAATGACTATAACACTATTCATTACAGGACACAAATCATGTTCAGTTGCAAGTTTATTACTGAAAATAGCAGAAAGGCAGAATGATAACACATATCCCACAAAACAATACAGACCTGGAAACTATTAAGATCATGAATATAGGAATGTCTCGTCAATTAACACATAACTGAAACTGCCCTTACAGATTGATGGAAGGGTGCAAGGAGAGAACAGAGGTAAGAGCCCCAAACTCTGTGAAGGAACAGGCCTAGGTAAAATAATTATAATAATCAGCCACTGG